TTGTGCCATAATTTAATAAACTATATGTAATAGGTAAATAAATGTACAAAAATAATAATATTTTATTTTCTAGTCATCTCCTCCCATTATCACCCATACTGCTGCTACACCGCAAGACTCTCCAAATAACACTTTAGATGCCGAGTTTCCAGAGTTTCTCTACAATGTCACCAATGCTAGTAGTGACACTGAAGTAGACCATTCTTTATGTCCTTCGACCACAGATTCGACGACTCAAAGGAGTTCGGCAAGTAGTAAATTAATTTAAAAGCTAATTTACTTTTTCTTACATTTATTTTGTTATTTTCTTATTATTTCTGCTTTCACTTTTGGTAATTCCTCAAAGTTATCAAACTTTTCTGAGACCGATTTCAACCATCCATTCAAGTTACTGCAAAGTATCAGTCAGCCAAATACGAGAATCATAATAATATGATCTTCTTCTATGATTGTTTTTAGTTCTCTACCGTTACAAAGAAAATTTAATATTTTCTAGTAAATTGTTGTTTGCTGGTATTTCCTGGTACCACTCCGAAAGAATTTCATCAAAACTGATTGATTTTTTAGAGTTTACACTTCCTTTAAAAGCGGTTGATCTCCATTACAATTATTTTTCAGATCGCTAGAGTAGCTGTTTCACATTCAACTTTCACAAGAAAAGTTGCTAATGAGATCTGGCAGAAAATTAACGAACACAGATTTATTTATGTAGATATATGTAACAACAAGATTGTTATTTCTTGTAGAGTCTGTTAAAACCGCCATCGTTGTCGCCACCACCTATAACGTTCAGGAGTTTCGAAAAACCTCCTGCCGAACCAATACAGACACCCTGTGGCAAAATTGTAATCCATAACGAAAGAATTGGAATGAAAACTATGTCATTTTCCGAAAAAGTTGTACAAGTGAACAACAATAATAAAAACGAAACGAAACAAAATCCCGATAAGGAAAAGTTGCAGCGAAAAATGTCCTGGAATTTGCCTAGGTATTTGTTAACAACAATTTAAAAACTTCTAAACAGCGGACAGAACGAAAGCTAAAGGGGGTCGGAAAGTAAGTAGGAAGAAATGTTCGAAACTACGAGCTGTTTTTATCGCACTTGAGGGATTGAGTTTACTTGAGTTACTTTTCCCACGTACTCGTCTAACAACAAAATTTAGTGGCACTTCAATTATGTAGTAATTGAACAACTGATTCAAACATAATTTCATAGTTTCTGATAAAAAAAATGACATAAAATAAACCAAAGTACTTAGTTTTAAGCTCAAGTTTCATCGCAAATGTTTAACCATTATTTTAGCGATAAGTATTTGCTAAGCAAATAACGCATTATATAGTATGCCTCCGTTAGTTGGAACTATATGGAACATTTTTATTGTCATATTTTATATTATATATTTTATATATTAAAAATACGACAAGGTATCACACACTAGGCGGCAAAAAAACGGACCGGTTTTACTAAACTATCCTTGGTGACAAATGCAAATTTGATGAAAAAATCAATTGACAAACTATTTCGTGTTTGTATAACATTTGAAACATATGTGTAGTCGCTAGTCACAATATTTAGAGCAAAGAAGGAAGTTTTAACTGACACGATCCCTCTGGTAAAGGCTAAGCAAAGTCTATTGAGACACCAAAAAATTAGTGTGCAGTCTCGGAGTCGTGCAGGGAAGAACAGAAAAATATTTGCTTGACGCTATCGGAATTAATTTCATTCTGCATCTTATACATAGATACCAGTATCCCGGACACACAGCAGCAAATATACTGAATAATTAATTGTAGTTTTTGGGAATTAAACTGTGTGTGTGCGTTCTTGTAAGACGTGGTCGCTGTTTGGAAGTTTTCACTTAGAAGACACTAAGACCACACACCCCTCTAACACTTTAACTTTGAAAATTTATAGAAAGTCAAGTCTACGAAGAAAAAGAGATAAATCCGGATCAGATTCCGAAGTGGTGCCTTTAAATAATGGGAGGGACCACTCGCAATGTAACGGAAAAGGGGTCAGCAGACACGTGAGTATATTTTAGAAGATGTTTTCGCTTTGGCATTTTTAATCAAAATTGATCTGTTTGAATCAAGTTTGAATCAATCATATACTTTAAAAAAGTATGCCTAAATAACTGGATAAAAGGTATTTACTAATTATCTCTGACCCTAGAAAATGATTGTATAATTGGTTGAAATGGATCAATTAGCAATTGAGCGCTAGTCGGTTAGCTCCTTCACACTGTACGCGATCACATGTCGCTTTTGTTGTTTGCACGTTTTGTATTTCAGGCCAGCTTACGAAATGATTCATTGCTGCAATCATCCATTCGGATTCAGAACGATACCCATCGAGACATTCCCAATAACAAAGTTGCCCGAGCTGCTGCCGCTAGTCCGCAAAATTCTATTAGATGTAGATCAGACACTTGTAGCGGATCCACCTCGCAACGAGTAATGCCATCCACACTTTTCTATTCATAATATGCTTTATTAATCTGTGTGCCTCATTATTCTTCTCATTTAAATTATCAGTTTATTTCATTTTTGTTTCGTCAATCTAAATGATCGTTTTCACCTCAAAAAGGTATTAATTAGACTTGGAGTGTGATATTCTTTCGAAAGTTGCGTAAATATTTCAAGTTTTAAGGACTGAATTTGCGCGTTTTGATACAGTTGGAAAACACGGCAATTATATATATAGAGCACTGCAACATTTGGTGTTTTTGGTAAACATTCTCAGTCCATTATGAATTTAGAAGACAACATTGATTGATTCAAACAATAAACATGTAATACCTATTTCTTTATTAACCGATAATGATGATAACTTAATTACTTAAGTAACTGTTTCAAAAAGTTGTAAAAGTTTCAAAAGTAAAGCATTCAATTACTGTCTATTGCATTATTCCTCATCTTCAAATTATATTTTGGTGCCTTCTAATATCATAAATTTTGATTACTGTTAGGTCCACGCGGCATTTGAACAGAACATAAAGCGCAATCTTAGAAACTGTCCCAATCACAAAAGGTATTTTCCATAAATGTTTGCTATGGAGTTTTTAGTTTAGTGTGGTTTGCAAATTTTTTTTGAAAAATCAACCGCATTATCAGGTCCATCTAAACGAGAAGAAATGGGAATATCTAATGTGTAATTGAAAATGTCTTACCGCAGAAGAAACCGCTTGAATAATTTTGGAACTTTAGAGAAACGCGAGGGAAGATAAAAGAATGCAATAAGAATAATTATTATGAGAAAAATATAATAATATGTAATAAATAAATGAGAGCTGAAACTCAACACTAATTTCAAAAATTCCTATTCTGGACCATCAAGCAAAGTCATTAACCACCAACATAAAGTTGGACTATCACACTTCAAGTAATCGATTGATATTTTGGTAAATATTACATGTGACACTGTAAATCTATAGCACATAGCTTTCATTTAAGTAAAATGTACTTATGGCCGTTTCCACAGCACAAACCTCATTGGGTATTTCTAGGTGATCACTCCACCACCGGCCTTGACTAGACGCAATTCCCTCACTAAATCACCAAAAAGCACAACAAAAAGGCACCACCACCACCATTCAAAGCAAAACCTGAAAAGCGCAAGCCCCATCTCGTCTAAAAAATGCGATCATATCGAACTAAAACCATTAAATAATCTTAAGGAAAATATCATAACAGAAACCACTTTGCCCCATCAGATAAAATTGGATGAGAGCATCATCTCAGCATCCCCGCGACTCAGTATCGTTGATCGAGTGGAAATGCGAGTCGCTGGATGTTTCAAGGAAAAGGATGACTATTCCCTGTATTTATTTTCACCTGAGAACAGGTAAGACCCGTATTTGCATATGCTAATTTAGCCAAAATGTTATTGAATTTTATATTGTTTCAGTTTCCGAAGAAAATGCACATGGCTTGTAGAACAAAAATATTTTGACAATATCGTTTTGCTCTTCATCGCCCTGAACTGCATAACGCTAGCTATGGAACGACCCAACATACCACCAGACAGTCCTGAAAAGTTATTTCTTCAAAGTTGCAATTACATTTTTTCCATTGTTTTTGCATTTGAAATGTTTGTCAAGGTATGTAATTTGAATCACTGAAAAAACCGCAAAAATTTACAAAATTATTCTGGTCATCGTAATAAAAGTTTCAACAGATGAACAAGTCGGAGTTAGAAAAAAGTCATTCAGGTTCTTTGCGTCTGAATTATAGTTGTCCATAGCAAGGGCGGATCCAGAAAGGGGGTCATGGGGGTCATGACCCCCCCATTCAATTCTCTATCCAACGATGCCAAAACGAATTATCTGGCTCGAATGGTTCTTGAGAAACTTCGATAAAAGCAGCGTCATGTTCAAGTGGATTTTGCAACCTCGCAAATCTAAAACTTCTTGAATTCAAGCATTTTTTGAGAAAACTCATTTTGCCTCCGAGAAATGAGCAAAAATGGGACGGAAAACATGAAATTTTGGCATAATCTGGCACCTAAGTGTCTGATATTCAAATTTGGCTTTCTGGGTCAGAACTATTCGAATTTGGTCGCTCACGTTGTTACGACTGAATCGAGTTTTCAATTTTCTATTCAATGATGCCAAAACTAATTCTGTGGCTCGAATGGTTCTTGAGAAACCTCGAAAAAAGCAGCGTCATGTTCAAGTGGATTTTACAACTGAAAAAAAAACCTCGCAAATCTAAAACTTCTTGAATTCAAGCATTTTTTGAGAAAACTGCCAACATTTTCCCATCCATGGTTCACTTTCTAAAAAGG